CCCCCCCCCCCCCCCCCAAGGCCTTGAAAAGGAGGAAGCATTTCTGAGCCATTTATCTCCTTCATTCAAGGACTGAGGGACAGACAGACAGACAGAGACACGCAGTCAAAAGATTCCAAATGCATCCATGTTTTGCAGGAGATCAAGAGTAAAAGGCAGAACAAAGAGAGAGGGAGGGAGAGGGAGAGGAATATTTCCAACATGCCATGTTCCAACTTGGACGCCAGCCTCACTACATCCACACTGACAAGCACTTTGGATAATTAGGAGGGGAAAAAAGGCCGGCTCCAGGGAGCCTTCCTTGTCTGTCCCTTCCTGTCTCCTTCCTAAGCGGCACGTTCAGCCTTTTGTCCTAGAAGATGCACAGCCGGGATTCCTGCAGCTGCATCAAGGCAGCCCTTGGGCTTCAAATCTGCTTTGCGATAGAGAAATATAGAAATAAAGAAAGCCCGCAGGGTCTTACCGCATCTCTTCGGCACCACATCCTGCCTCTTGGGGGACCTGCCTCGGCCATCTCCCCCGCAGCTCACGCCCGGCAGGTGGACCTATCTTGCCCGAGGGTCAATGCGGCACTGCTGAAAGGGGAGCCTCGGCATTTCAGAGTCCCCAAGGAACAAGACAGCTGTTTCCCTTGGCCTCTGCACCAGCGGCACAGGGCCACAGCTGGGTTTCACCCAGGGAGACATATTCCCCTAATCTGCTGCTCTTCCATCAAAACTGTCCAGCAGATAATCTGATCCCTTAGGCTGGCTAAAGCAGAGCCAGCAAATGTGCCAAAAAAAGAGGAATGGCTGTTGGCGGAGCTACCGGTAAAAGAGAGGGCAGAAAGGGGGGGACCAGAGAGGGAGAGGAAGAGAGACACTTGGTGGCCAAGCACCGCTGTGCATTTTAAGGTGGAATGCAGAAGTTCCAAGGTACCTTTCCTCTTTGGGCATGTGTTTGCTCAAAGAAGCGACCATATTTGGAGCATTATTATAGCCTCCTTTCCAGAATGGGAAAAATATCCCTTTCTTAATGTTTTCTTAGACCAGAAAGCTTGGTGAAAAGCACACACCACTGATGGCTAGTGGCTACTAGGCCCGGCATTCTTTTTTGAGGACAGAACTGCAGGAGAGATCATTTGGCAACTTCAAATATAGCCAAAGAGGAGGGTGAGGAGGAGGAGAGTGAGGGGGAAGCTTCTCCTTCTCCTCCTTGATTGAAAGAATCTGGAGTAAAGACCTGGAGACGGGAAAAAAAGAATCTCTAGGAGAGAAAACTTTTGCCAGCCACAGCAATCCTCTTGAATTAAATCCAGAAGTGAACTGGCATCTATCTTGAACTGGGTTTGACAACTTCTGGTGCTTTATCCATCGTGAAGAAGGTGCCCAATCTTTAGGGCAGCCAACTTTTCAACCTATCTAGATTCCTGTGCCTTTGATAGCCTCTGATCTGCAATTCTTATTAACAGGCTCTAGAATGTGTCTCCATGCCCTTTAAAAAGTTCATTTTGCTACCTTTGGGTGATCAAGGCAATATTAAAAAAGCACAAGAATATGGTGATGTTGCCCTTGTTTTCCACCCACCACACAGGACCCTTCCTTGCTCTGCTACCGCTGTGCCCTCGGAGACTCACTAGAGGTCTATCCACACATTACATCAAACTTCTGATGGCAAGTAGGCAGTTCTAACATGGCCCAACCCACTTAGGAATCATTTGAGAGATGTGAACTGAGTCAGTGTGCCCATTTTATTTTATTGGCCCTGATCCAGAAATCTCAGCCTCTTTCTCCTTTGCTTTGGGGCAGTAACCCTGCAGTAGAGTTAAGCTTTTGGACTAAACTTAAAAAAAAACAACATATCGATGAGTTACTCTACTTGATTTTGGTCCAGAAGGCCTTTCTAACTCAACTTGAGAGTAAGAACTCCAGAAGCTGGATTCAGTCTGTAGCTTTCCAGTTTAACAAGTGACAATATGAAGTGGTAGGAGACCTCTTTCCTCTGAACCTTGGAAAGCAGCAGCTGGTTGGAACCGATGGACAATATTAGCCTAAAGTCAACGGCTACACAACAGCTCGACTCTGTTCCCTGCAGCTCTGGAAAACCCCACAAGGACTCACTGCGATTCTTTGGAGAGCCGTCTTGACCGACATCCATGTATCTAGCCTTCGGTCCAGAATGAGGATAAATTTGCTGTCAGGGCTGCGTTGGCTAGAATGTAAGGGGAAACAAGTTGATAGCACAGAAGCAACACTGCAGGGGTCAAATCCGCCCTGAAATGCAAAACCAGAATGGGCTACTTTTCTGTCATTTTTTTTTTTGTTAAACTGCTTTCAGGGGGCAAACAGCATTTTCATTGCAATGGCATTCTAAAGCAGTGATTCCCAACCTTGGCAACTTCCAGGTGTGTGAACTTCAACTCCCAGAATTCTCATCCATGGCCATGCTGGCTGGGGAATTCTGGGACTTGAAGCCCATGCATCTCAAAGTTGCTGAGGTTGAGAAACACTGCTCTACGGTAAGATTTGTACCTTGGGATCCATGTGAGGTAGGTTAAAACTTTGGTTACAACCTCCTCAGGCACTTGGCTGAAGCTGGGATTTTCAGGAAACGTGATAATCCACTCCTTTTCTTTTCCTCTCCCACCTAGGCAGAAAAAAGCGAATCAGAGCCACACACAAAACCGCATTCTATCGTTTTTCCTCTTTTTGGGGGGCTTCTCACACTTCCCTTCCATACCAAGAGGAGACCTCAGCAGAGAGCGCATGCCTTTCAGGAGCATTCCCAGATGTGGGCAGCCTACAATGGAGGATGGAAAGCTGGCCTCCCCAGCTGACGTATCTCCTGCCACCTCCTGCAATCCAGTCCGCTCAAAATCAACCCCCCCCCCCAATCTATGTGCATGAAATCTCAAGCATCTGGAGAACAAGGCAGAAAAAGAGATG